GTAGCTTCTTTTAATTCTGAAATAGGAGCATGTCGCTTCTGCTCTTTCGAAACGCGGAGCATGATAAGACTGGGTAAATCATCTGCGACTGCGTCCACCAAATGATATTGTTTAATGAGGCCCATGGCGGTGTCTGCATCCTGCAGCTTCATGTAACACTTCAAGGCCTCACGAGGTCGACCATCAGCCACGTAAAGCTTCCCCAAGCTTTCCATGACAATTCGCCAATCTCTACCGATTTTGCCATCCTCGACGCTGTCTTGGCGGACATCGCGATATTTGAGCTGGTTTTCTAAAGCTGTGGCTACAGCTTTGATATCGAACAAGTCGGGAGACCACTGGTCGAGTAGCTCACCAACTCGTGGTAAGTTATGGGTGATATAATGCCCTAGTACGATTTCATAGATTGTCGAAGGCAGAGGTGGCGTGATCTGTGCTGTCGGTATGAAGTTGGTAATCTCATCAAATTTGTCCTTTCCAGCAAATGTCCACACCCAATGTTCCCACCGATCCGATGTACCCAGCACTTTGCCACATATCCTACCTGCCGAGGTCCAGTCATCGTTCTCAATCAATGATTGAATCCAAAGCTCACCAATCCTACGCTTCTCTTTTTCCACAGAAGAGTTAATCAAGCGACTTGCAGATTCAATGGTCGTGCTTTCGTTATCGTAGAAATCGTCACTACTTGAGCGTGTTCGATCCGGGGTTGCTGGCCCAATTTCAGAGAGTTTTTCGGGAGAAGATGAGATCACTTCGGGGTGTTCATCAATCAGTTCCCAGGCCTCTTGGTGCTTTTCATGCTCTAATAGCCATGCAAGATGGTCAGATAGATCTCGCTTTGTAGCCAAAATGCAGTCATATGGACTTTGGATGAATATCTTCATCCCTGGTGTGATGATGTGCGGATGAGCAGCCGTAGCGCGATTGTGGTGAGCAACTTTCGATCTAATGGATGTGTGTTTCGAATCACCATCACCTGTACTCCCATTGCTAATCACACTTGCACTGGAACTCAACAGTGCTGTAGCGTTAATTGTAGCATTCCACATACCACTACCCATCCCAGTAAGGGCTTCCAGAGTTCCGCGAGATGATTGAACTACTGGTTGATCTCGAGCCGCAGGCAACACACACAAATGATAATCACCAGCTGAGAGCCTTTCATAACGGCTGACCGTCAATCCATCAGTATCAACTTCTTGGGATGTTCCAAGATCAATAAGACGAAGTTCTGGAGATAGTGCGTTTTGTCGACGCCGTATTCCACCGCTCGGCTCGCTACCTGTTGACGGATGCGATTTGTGTCCTTTTGGTGTAATAGATTCCTCATCTTCTTCATCAGGCATAACATAAGCAAGTACAACAAGTAAAGTTGGGGTATATAACGATAATCCAGAAATTATGCAATCCATCCGTAACCTGATAATGTTAGAGAAGTGCTGGAAACACCGTGATAATAAGTTCAAATTTTGCAACTCACATTTTGATGATCTCAGCGCTACCAACTGTACGCTCTCCCACATTCTTTCCAACCCCAGTTCCACCAGGGTGCACATTAATCATCCAGATTGTACCACCCCATCCAACGACCAGCTTTTCAATACGCAATTTGTCTCTCGAGGCTTGCAATCTCAATTTTGCTGTGGCTGGGGAAGCAGATGATGCTTCGCGAGCTTTATCATCTTCATCAGTTTCGAGAGTTTTCTCGTCTATCCATTCGACTCTAGCTTTCCAAACACTAGCCATATCTTCCCATTGCTCTCCATCCGGACGAGGTATGTGCCCAATTCGCTTCCAAGCAGATTCAGTATCCGCACTATCCAGTTGTAGATGAGATCTCATAATCTTGATACCATGCTCATTGCTCCATGCCACATATCTTCCTGATAAGGACCATTTGATGGTATTGATTGTGCCTTCCCCGGAGTGTAACACAGTATCCTTCCCAGCATGAGTTCCTAGACCAATAGTCCCCAGCCATCCACTTGCAGTGGCCGCTGCACTTCCTGTAGTAGTAGAGGTCGAGCTTGTACCTGCTTTGCCACCGACGGTAAGCACTAGATTTCCAGCCAGTCCTCCCGATATATATGAGCGATCGTTTTTGTAATCCGGCGACAAACTAACAGCTTGAACAGGTCTTGCAAAGTCCCTCAGTTGTACATCTTTTACATCAACCAAGGATGCTATGCATACCTTGCCATCAACGGAAGATGTGCCAATGTATATTGCGTTCGAAGGGGTTTTGGGGACTACTGGACCTCCAGGACTCCGAGCTGTGTTCGCGGAGGTCTGGGATGCCATTGATGGGGCTCTTTGCGGTGCATTTGGGGCTTCTGGTTGCACGCGCGACGTAAAGCGTTGTACAGCTTCGGGAACTAGTGTGGGTAAAGGAGGAGGGAAAGGGGATATAGATATGCTCGTGATTGAAGCTGAATGGGCATGGTAGGTTCGGATAGACTTGAATGAAGGCAACGACAATACATGCTGCATAAACTGTTAGCAGATCATTTGGAGGAAGGGAGGGATCCGTAGCATACAATATTACCATTATGTGTACCAACAAACTAGGAAACAGTTAGCTAGAGAAATACGGTCACCTGGGGGTGGAGGTTTACCATTTTGTCGCCAGCAACCAGGAAGGTACTTGTAGCATCTCCATTTCTGTAAACTGGTCCAAGATGGCTTGTCATTCGAGCATATTTCAGCTTAGGCTCTTCCTCGTCATCTTCCTCCTCGTCCTCCTCTTCCCCATCCTCCGACTCTGTCTCAACGGTGTCATCATCGTCCCCAGTTTCAGTTCCACCTTGACTGGACTCAACACTATCCAGGTTTTTGGTGTCGCTTTGTTCTTCTGACCCTTCAGCCATAACGGCAGACTCTCCCGATCACATTTGCTTTTGTTGTCAAGGATGTGCAGGGGTAGCTACACCGACGACGTCAATGCCATTGAGGTTTGGAGCAACTTGAGATAGCCGAGTTCTAGGCTTTCGGCAGTGAATTTAATTTTTTGTGATCCTAAAAGAATTTGTTTCGAACCCCCGCAAAGATGGCCAATTTTCTGAATAATTTATGTTGTATGACTGATAAGGTCTACAGTTATCATGAAGTCTTTTTCTCGTTCATTTTGCTCTGTCGCAGTGAGACGGCCAATTGGTGGAAATAATTTACAACTTCCTTATCGATGCCTCCAAGCTTCAGCACCGGCACTATACCCTAAGAAACGGAACTTCTTCTCTTCCAATGCTACCCTCCAACAAGATGTCGCATCATCAAGTATTGAATCAGCAGCCGAGCTGAAGCCAGTGCAGAAAAGGAAAGCTTTACGGTCGCCCGCTGGGAAGACGAGTTTGAGGAGGGTTGCAGTTGAAGCTCAAAGGTCCAGGCAGAACATAACTCGACCTGAAGTTACCTCTGAAAATGTTGAGGGCACAAATAGAGTTATTGCTATCTCCGTGGCAGATCATTTTGATATGGAAGCTGTAGCTCGAGTTCTACGATCGCATGGTTTCTCAATTGACCCGGACGGAACTGGGTTTGAATCCGATGAGGTCATACATACACGAGGGGTCAACAATGGAGATATATTTGTGTTTCCTTCGGGTTCACTTGTTGCATGGTCTTTGCCCGAAGATGTAGTTACGGATTTGGCAACAAAAACCCTATTACCGGCCGCTATTGATTCACATGTAGGCAACGTTGAGATAGAAGACCTGGAATGTGAGGAAGACCCCAAACGGGAAAACAGCAGTATCAGAGGAGACACCATTGTGTTAGGAACGAAGGACTCACCAAGTGAGGGACGTATAAGGTATGCTACGATCAGTCGTATTTGGGTCATGAATCGTTTACACTAACTATTGCTGTAGCTCACAAGTCGACACAACCCTTGCGAAGATCGCCTTTTCCTCTGGCCTTGCTAGATCAACAAAACTCGCGGTCCTCGAGACTATGCTATCCAAGTACTTCGAATCTACTAAATCCATACCTACATTACTTTCACGAGGCTCAAGGCTACCATTTAATCGGCAATTCATGCTACAAAAGACTGGAGAGCTGCTCGATTTACGAGCGCGGTTGAACCACTATTCCGAGCTCACAGATTCACTTCCGGATCTGTTTTGGGATAGTCGGCATGAATTGGGTCTGGAAGGATATTATGACCAGGTTGGGAGGGCTCTTGATGTTGGTGTACGGATCAAGACTCTGAACCAGAAGATGGATTATGCCCAGGAAATCGCAACCATTCTTCGGGAGACGATGAGCGAAAAACATAGTATTCATCTAGAGTGGATCATTATTGTTCTCATTGCTGTGGAGGTAGGGTTTGAGCTTCGGAGATTATGGAAGGAGCGAAGTGAACGATTAGAAAAGGAAATGGAAAAAGAGAATGGGACATGACATTGCTAGACTGTTGACTTGTTTCGTTTTTCTCAAGATACCCCACTCCACATTTGATACCAGAAAATTTAGATTTATTCCCATCGTTTTCGGCTGCCAAATGATACAGAATTCTATCCTGCGTACTCAAATCATCCCAGATGCAGACTATCTTTGACGCAAACCAGCAAATATTTTCATGAGTCCAGTGTTCGTACGAATGCAAATATCGCACTTGCTCAAGGACTGACCAGACTTGAACCAGTGTTATACATTTTGAAGGGTTTTTGATTGGCTATTCTCAGCCACTGCCCTGCAAGTCGTCACCTAGGCACCAATAAGGCTGGGCACTAGAACTTCGTTTCTCGCAAATATATTCTTATACATCCCGTCTTGAGTATCAGATATATGAGAACAACCTCTCGAGCTTTCAAAACATAAAATCTCCAGTCGCCCATATTTTGCTTCTTAAGCGTAAGAGGTATGAACCCGGCAGTCATGAGTAGTCGGAGGAGAGAAAGAGTAAAACAAAGAGTGCGTATCTACCATGTGTCAGATACTGTGGGTGGAGCATACGCCAACGATGACGATACAGACGCTGAATATCGTCCAATAAGAAGATGGCAATCGCAGAGTGGCGGCTATCGTATATTGGAAAGTTACGAGAGACGAAGCCAAGATCAGAAGCGGCAGAGGATGGTGATTCGGGTGGTCGACTGTCCACTTATATCAGGCCTTATGACAAATCTTCAGATATCACCAGCTTGTATAGGCGGTTACTTCCAGCATTGCTACCAAATGAGTATTCGTACAAGGACGACGGAGATAGTGTCGGAGCATGCGGGAAAACCAATTGTACACACAAGTAGGACATCAAATCGATCAAGTTCCAACTTGAGGAATACCTCAATTACTTGTTTGGACTCACACTCTGCACCGTTTCTCGTACAATCTATTTCCGAGTTTTATCAACCTCTGAACCGAGCCACCGACCAGATTAGACTTCTAGAACGAGTGGTGGTCTATCCCGAATCCACAAGTCATTGCAACCTACCGGCCTTCAAGCTCGTCGTGAAATCGCTCAGCGATCATGTAGAGTATTCTGCGCTGTCCTACGCGTGGGGACAGGATCTTTCCCTAAAACTATAGTTATTAACGGCACCCGAGTTGAAGTGCGAGCTAATCTAGCAAATGTCTTGGTGCACATCTCTCCAGCCACTCCTTTCCTGTGGATTGACGCTTTATGCATCAATCAAGATGATGTAATTGAGAGAAATCACCAGGTCATGCAAATTGGAAGTATCTATAAACAGGTAAGAGAAGTCATAGTATGGCTAGGCGATAAGACTGACCAAGGGTTTGGAAATGACGCGGAGACTTTTATACCCGATATTGGATTTCATTTCATTAAAAGATTGGCTGCATTGCAGAAAGATCTAGTGTGCATAAGATCTGGAGCAGATGTTACCATTGAAAATGATGAGCTTCTTCTAGGCGCAGAACTTGTATCTCTTGGTGGATTGTATAGCAGACCATATTGGAATCGCTTATGGATTTTGCAGGAAGTCCTTCTCGCTAAAGACCTGGTTATTTGCTGGAGCAATAAACATAGTCCAGGACTGAGAACTGTGACTTGGGCAGAATGGAGTCGAGCTAGACACCTTTTGGAAAACTTTGGGTCCTCACTTGCCTTGAGTTGGGATAGAAAACTTAAGATAAAAGTTATCGAAGTTATCCTAGAGAGTGCACCAGCAAAGTTGGACAGACTCCGAGAGACTGGCAATCAAAGATGGCCTTTCAATTCATTCCTGGAGATGTTTCCTAGTTCCGAATGCCGAGTCCAAGCCGACAAAATATATGGTCTTCTAGGAATAATCAGTGACCCGGAACTCTGCAATTTCCCTGTAGATTATGCTCGACCGTTGTTTGACACATATGTTAAAATTATTAACTGCTATACTCAAACACGATCAACAGAGTCACCAGCAGTCGACATCATAAGACTGAGTCAGAGTCTACAGCTCGCATTGAATGGTCCTATCCCAGTCCCTGGAATGGCGTTGAAGTGGTGTGAAATAGAGCAAGGAAGCCAGGCAAAGTTGTTCAATCACCGTGGTTATGTGGAAGGCCTTGTTATCGCGTCTAGTATTGCGAGACGTGATCTCCCCCAAAGATTGGAAATAGAATTGCCAGGGACTAAAAGCACTCGGAAGATTCTTTCAAGCAAAATTAGAGACTTGGATTCCTGTAGCAAGAGAATACTGAAGGATTTCGACAGTGTATTTGGTTACGCCACGAGAGAAAATCTATCGCTGTGTGATGTCGGAAAGTCTGCGACCAAAGAAACGTCGATTAGATTTGACAGGGTTTGCGAAACAAGGTTTTTTATATCAAGCACAGGAGAGATTGGCATTGCTTTAGCTGAAGTCCGGGACAACAATTTCATCTGTCGTTTGAAAGACACTCATACCACACTTATCATTCGTCAAAGGCGCGACCGTTACCAAGTCATTAGTAGAACGGTGTTGACATCCTATGCGGACACCATTCCAAGATTTGGAGGACACGCAGAAAATGTTAAAGGCGACGCCCTCGATTTCTGGCTTGATCCATTGACACTTCAGACACTGACGTGTCCAATTGAGTCTAAGAGAGGAATTCCATACTAGAAATGCCTTACCATGGAAGATGCATTCTCCAAATCTGTTGGAATATGATGCGACGAAGACGGATAATGTCCCGGGTTCTAGATTTAGATCCGTTGTTACCCCGAATGACAAATAAATAAAAACTCGAAAAGCGGTGAATACCCACCCAGTATGAGCAAACTGCTAGACTTTCTCAAATCAGTATGAAGTAGACAGCAAGTGGTGATGGCTATTTGGATAGATGGCATTTATGGCATTGACGCGAAGAACTTGCAGCAAATTATCATTCGTTTCACCGGGCCATTCCTCAACTACTACCTGCTGCATTACAATGATCATGAATTATATAGTTTAATAATACTACAGCACGTAAGTATGGTTATTGGGTAGGTTGTTATATGCCGGCGAGGCATTCAGTACTTGACTTTAAAGAGCGAAGCACTTTTTACTGCCAATTTTTCACATGGAAAGCTAATGGATGCAGAATCTATTGCACCAAAAGCAAAACATCGTATGCCAATCGAAATATTACTTTATTTAAATTTAAATCTAATCTCATCTCATAAATAATTACATATAAATCTCCAATCCAATTCAATCTTCTCATCTACCATCCCCTTCAAGTACTACTCCTCATCTCCTCTATTTTCGAAGATCACAATCTACAATTCGATCTCCTTCAATCCCTTCTCGCTCAAAAGTCCGTTGACGGTGGTCAAGATACCACCTACAGCAGTGTTAACCTCTTGAATCACACCAGCATCACCTTGGACAAGGCCAACAAAGCTGAGAACTGGAGTGAGGACTGGGCCGAGAAGGGTGTAGACTTCCTGTACTTCGGCAGTGACGAGTTCAAAGGTTGCTAATAAAGAGTTAGTTTTTTGATTCATGGGACAGTTATGAATGGGAGGGCAGGAAGGTGCGAAAGCTGAGGGATACAAGAGGGAGATCAAAAAGGGAATACACACAGTCCAAAAGACTACCGAGAAGGTCTGAAAGCACTTGAACGATTTGGAAAACAATGGCCTCGACATCAGACAAGATGGCGAGAACATCATTAACCTCAGTGACAACAACGTTAAGCACAGTAGGTAAGGTCTGGGCGAGAACACCATCAACGGCGCCAGTAAGTGCGGCAACAATATCTCCCAAATCCTTGATGATCTCCTCGGCAAGACCTTGTTGGCCGGCTGCAGTGGTACCAACAGAGGTGATGAGAGTTTTGATGGAAGTAACATCAGAAACGACAGTGGTTCTGACGGATTTGATGGAGGTGACAACGTCGGTGACTTGAACGACGTTGCGCTTGATAGCGACGTCGGCAAGGATATCAGTTACTGGCGAAACGACAGGTGAGGCTATACTAGTGATACCGGTGAGTCCTCCAATTTGTCTCTTGGCTCCAACCTTTGAGACGACACCTTCGACGGCTGAGAAAGGCGAGGCGAGGTTTTGCGCATCTCTTGGGATTGGGAGAGCGGAGACTGGGGTAGAGGGGAGCTCGGAGAGGACGGAGGGAGCGGATGCGAGCTCTGGGATGGAAGCTTGGGGTGCGGCAAAGGAGGTTGCGCTGAGGCCGAGAACGGCAATGAGGCTGGCTTTGTATTGCATTCTGAGGGATTAAGATTGGAGAATGGAGAATTAAAGAATTATAAGAAAAATTACGGATTTGTTTTGTAAAGAACGTGGGGTTGTTAAGGAAAGTGTAGTAGTTGGATGAATGAGTGATAGTGAGAATGAGATGAGAAAGTGAATGATGAGGTATATATACAGGAACCCAAACATATACTTCACACCTTCATCAGGATTTGAATGCGGGCGACGATCACATCAATGCTTGAAAGGGGGAGCACACAGGAGCTATTGAACCCCAGGAGATTTTGATGGCTGTACAGTGGATGTTCAAAGACTAGGCATTTAGTACATCCTCTTATCTACGAAACAAGATGTCCCACCTTTGTGCTCACTGAGCGCCCAGGCTTTTATTTCCCCGAAAGTACCTGCTCTTCTTTCCAACATATCTAAACATGGAAACTACCCAAGAAAGACAGCTTTGATGCACATACAGATCCACTCTGTATTTTGATATGCTGGCAGCATGAGTAAAACAGTCGGGAAATAATCATACGGCCTCCACAGAAGACACGAAGAACAGCTACCAAAAGAGACGAAGCAGTGAAGATCGTCATGGAGCACGAATCAACCATGCAGAGATTTTCCAATGACGATGGATATTATTGGGCTAAAAAAGAAGCCTCCTAATTGGGAATTCCAGTGTCTACTCCGTATATCAAAATTTAAGAGCTTAAAATGGGGGGCATTGTGTCAGAAAAACCAAGATACCATACTTTGACTTTCTGATCATTAATCATCGCACATCATATCATCTCAATATCGTGAATATGATTCAACAAGATGATAAATTTGTCAAGGCAGAAAAATCCGCATGTGTTTTTTAGTGCCGTCAATCTATTAATCAAAATCTGGCGGTATATACATCGTTGTCGTGCGCCCGGAACCACTGTACAAGCTAGGCACATATGATATGATGATTTTAGCACACCCGTTATTTTCGTCAACAATGTGGGGATAGGGCTATTTAGGAGGAAACAATATACGAAGTAAAAGCATAATTTCCAACGGCGGGGGCTGCGATGCTCAATATACCGAATAGGCAATGTGTCAGTGCACACGCAGTAGATCATCAACTCTTCTCGTACAGATCGACGCTGTCAGAAACAATCTCATTTTAGACCCTGGACAGCATAGGGGCAGATACCTCAATTGCCGGGACTTCTCATTATGGTTATCAAATATTCTGTGCATAGGTACGGACGGAGTGGTGAGCGCCGGTCTTTAGAGATGATTCACTATTGAAATGCTCGGACTCCGTATTAGATCCGGTAGTTGCGTGCGGTAATTCGAGATGTCTCCGCGCGGCGATGGAGAGGTGTAGAGTTTGTGGGTGGATGGCCACAACCTATTGTGTCAACAATAATCAATTCAAACAGCTTTTGAACCGTAAATAACGATGGTAATTGTGGCAGGATTTACCTGCAAAAAGATAGCAATAAAAAATATCAGGAAGGAAGAGACGAGTTGAGAACTATACCCTAGTAAAGATGAACAAGGTGCTTGCCCAATCAAGCCCTAGCGTCAAACTAGTTCGCAGCAAGAACATCCAAATTGGGTCCCTTGGATATCACCCCTGTGGGTAGCGAGTGTCAAAATTCTGAGAAGACATTTGATACAGATGGGTTGGTAAGCAACGAATGAATTCAAATAAATGACTATCTACAGCATCTAACAAACCACTAATGCAAGTCTAAACACCCCATAGAAGAATAACTATCTACATCTAGTACCCCTTAAATGAAAGCAACTCCAACCCGTAAAAATAGCAACAAAAATAACAATCCCAATAGCAAAAAATGACACCACCTGCACCCGCACCACCACTCCGTAAGTAATCGCAAGAAAGAAGAATGAAAATCCACGACAATACAAAAATCAAACCCTAACCTCCACTCAACCAACCACTGCCTACCTATAACTGGTTCCCGCTGCATCCTGCTCAATGATAACCGCCGCCGCCTTCTCACTAACCATATAAATCGGCACCGCGATATAGAACCCTGGGATCTTGGGGAAAACACTCGCATCAACTACTCTCAAACCACTCGTTCCCCGAACCCTAAAACTGCTGTCCAAAACCGCCATCTCATCATCATCAGCACCGATAGGATTCGTGCACGAAATGTGATGACCCCAAGCTTCATCCTGGATGAATTCCTTGAGTTCCTCTTCCGTGGAAACATCTGCTCCAGGCCATGATTCGTTGAACGACCCGTCGAGGGGAACAACACTGTTCATTATCTTGCGAGAAAGTGACATGCCCTCATACATTGCCTGGAGATCTTTTTGCCACGCATTATCAGTCGATGTTCCTTCGTCGAAATAGTGCATCTGGATCAATGGTGTATCGAGCGGATCTGCTGATCGAAGGGTGACTGTCCCTGCGGTATTGCGCGCGTGAGCCTTGAGCGTAATCCAACTCCAGTGCAGAGCATCACCGAGAGCAGGACCGGAATAGCCTGGATAATAGCCGTGGAAATTAGCGGGAGCGCCGGAAATCAGGAGATCGGGATCTTGTTCTGCGGTGCTGGATCGCATAATCATGGCGAGAGGGAGGCCGGGTGTAGCGTAGAGTCCTGCATCTGCAGTGTCGTTTTGCCATTGCGTTAAACAGGGATCGTCGGCGGTGGTGAGGAAGGTACAGCCCTCAGCGATGGAGAATGAAACGTCGGATTCAGAGATGAGGGTCGTTTCGTAGCGATCTTGCATGTTGGTACCGACACCGGGAAGATCAACTAGCACTGGGATGTTGAATGATTCGAGTTCAGCTCTGGGTCCGACACCGCTGAGCTTGAGGAGCTGAGGACTGTTGTATGTTCCGCCAGAAATGATAACCTCCTTTCTCGCGTTGACGCTGCCGGAAATACCTTGAGTTCCATTCTTTCCAGCTCTGGGATCAGCTCTGTACAGGCTTTTGCCCTCCAAGAAGTCGACTCCGAGTGCGCGAGGTGTGGTATCGTTGGAGAACCGAATCTTTGTGACGAATGTGTTGAGCTTAAGATTCAACTTGTACTTCTTGGATCCGTCAGTATTGACTGCATTCACTGTTTCGAGAATGAAATTTCTAGCTCCATTTCTTGTTCTTCCATCAACAGCGATTGGAATCTGGTACAATCCAGTGTCGTTGTCTCGTGTAGGTAATAGATTATTAGGATCCAGAGAGACGACCTGGTTGAAGCCCTGAGCAGTCGCAAGAATCGAGTCAGATGCGTTTACTGCGAAAGCATCAGCGGCAGAGATAACGATCGAATTAATCTTGTCATCTTGAACAATCATAGTTTGATTGGTGGCACTTGTATGTAGCCATCCGTCAAAGCCATGTCCAGGAGTGTCTTCTGGGAGATAATCGCAATGCTCCATCTTTTCAAAATATGTTCGCATATTGTCAGGAGCCCAAGAATCGTCACCAGTAATGTCAACAATGTATTGCCAATCGCTCTCGTGTGGGTAGATTGAAATCATAGCGTTATGGTTCGAGCAGCCACCAAGAGTTCCAGCTCGAGGATACCAGACTCCAAGTGGTTCTGCGTCCGCTGGGGGATCTAATCCGACGTAGTAGTCTCCATCAGTACTTTGATAGGTCATTTTCGTATCCTTCTTTTGACGTTCGAGATCAGAGTAATGATGGACGAAGAAATTCCATCGCTGTTCCTCAATCTCAGTCGATGCGAATTGAAAGAGAGGCATTTCAGCGAGGATCTGATCTCCTTGGTCATCTCCAGCATCGATCAACAGCACTTCATATCCGGCCAGAGCAAGACGAGATGCGAGAGGTCCACCACCTGGACCACTGCCAACAACAATGTAGTCAACTTCGCTCGGTGTATCTTCTGTGACTTTAGCCCGAGCGTCATTTCGAGACCAGTATCGTGCCTGTTTGGGATTTCTTGAAGATGTCAGTAAAGGAGTTTGCCAATCTGTTGATTTTGAAGCACCTACGATGCCAATACAGATGAAGAGCTCAAAGCCAAAAGGCTCAAAGCGCGAATGGAAACCATTATTGAGATCGATCGATATCAGAATATGTTTGGAGCGGATGAAATCTGGTCGAACTAAGTTGCTTTCTAAATACAAGGTAGACTTTTGCGCAATGAAGTTGCCGAGAGATCTCTGAATGTGATCCGTTGATCTCTTGAGGAAGAGTAGTGAGAAGCTGATGAAGGATACATTTTGAGAACGGGGAACAACTGCTATTTATCGTCGCCGTCGACAGTACGAATCTCAACCACTGTCAAGCTGATATTGTTACTTCATCCAATTCAGAAGACTCCTGAACTCCGATTTCCAATCCTCCATTGTCTTCTCAGATGTTCTTTTCACGATCTTCAAGATTCGATGTCAAGATTCAGCTTGAGGGAGCATTGTTTACGGGACCCCGAGTTCGAGTTTGGAAAGTAGTATCGGTCGCGAAATCAACAGACAACAATAAATCCGACAAAGAATCGGCGTTTTTAGTTTGTATCAGATGCCACCATAAAAAGAATTCTCGGGTTTCCTAAAAGACTGAAGATATAAAATCCAAAGTGATTCGCTGATGTAATGCTCTTGAAATGATCTTACGCCCCCCACAAGATAATATGTGGAGGACTAGGTAAAACGCCAGAGCAAGGGGGAGCCCCCGGTAGGTGTACATGGCTAATCTGCAGCCACTCGTGCCATTGATGCCACCAATCCCACCATCGTTGTCAGATACCCTAGGGCATAGCCTACCTTTTGAATTTCATCCATTTACCATAAGCTTAATTTCTTGCTTACATGCCCAGGCGTACTGATCAATATTCAAAGAATGTTTGTATCAATAACCTTAACCTGAGTTGAAACATGAATCTACGAGAAATGAATGATCGAAATAATCTTAGCACAGACATCACAAACTCTTTCTGTTCATACGAGAGTATCGTCTAGGCTTGCCAGCTACGGGCAGCCTCCCCTAGTAACTAAATTACTAGGGGCGAACGCCTCTCCGCGGTAGGATTCTCAATTCATCCAATAAGACATTGTTTGCTGCATTAGCCACAAGCAGTTAACAGCCAGTTGAAAAATTGAGATTAGAAATCGAACTTCCAATCCTTATCGCAAACGTTCTAAGAGTTACCATGAATGAAACATTCATGGGTTCAAGCAATACAACGTTTTTCGAAGTAACCAAAAAATAACTGCCGTGAGCATCTGCGAATTTCAGTTCGTCTTGTCAACAGAAAACATGAGTATTTGCGCCATCCCGCTGCTAAGATTTTCTTGGCGATCCCCTAATGTAGTAGGTCTCATCTGATAAAGATTTTGAGTGGTGGTCCTCGCTTCATTCCTATTGGCTTAGCTACTAAACATCCTTGCTAACTGTTGCCTTCTGCATTCTGGCCCTTGTCAACCCAGAATAGGCGTAGATCCCGGAATTAGCTTTGAAATCACATTCATCTAATTGTATACTATACAATCTGAAAGGCCGTATGTTTTGAGTGCTTATAGCGCCGTAAATCATCTTGTGTCTCCTGCATAAGCCATGGACGTGCTGGTAACACTCGTCTCTACAGCTCTGAAGACGGGCAAGAAGGTTTAGAGTCCCAAATTAGATTATTGCAGCTGCCTAAAAGCCATAAATGACACATGGGTTTTATGTGGTACGATAACGGTACAGAGTTGCATGAACGACTTTGAGGGAGATTGCGGGTGAAAATTCGTCATCGGTGATAAGTTGAGAAAGACCATCATCATTGACTGCAGATATCAACGTTACCAGATTAATGGCATCACACTATTGGGGGTAAATCCAAATTTGGGTGTCCGCCCGCGCTGGGTAACATCTTCGTTCACACTTGTTCGAACCCCCCGCCCTATTCTGAAAATATGGCTGTATTTCACGCGCAATTATGCATTCGAGCGGCAAGACTCCCGAGAAGGGAGGTAGATTTTCAATGGAGATACGGAGTATGTATATGTCCACGAGGAGTACTTTGAACAAATAGCTTGAGAAAGAGATGTGTTACAAACAATCACATCTCTTTGTAAAACCTGCCCGTGTTTGTGCAAAGTGGCATGTATACAAAAGACAATATGAAGTACCTACAGTAATCTGGTACTTAGCTTGTGAATACAACCACGAAGACGATATGTATAGCAATCGCAAGCTGAGAGATATATTTCGGTTGGCTTATCCGTTTAGAGGCTCTGAAGTCCTTTATTGGTCAGGATTAAGGCTGCCAATATTTGGGCAAGCTGTTTGACTTTATTTCTAGGCCCAAGGAACCCATTTTTTTGATCCGTTCTCGACTGTTTCGTTAACTTGTTGGCGTTAGGGTTTCTTGAATATTTCGAATTGTAATGTCTGCCTAATTACTCTCCTCCAAACGCCCACTCTCAATCCGTTTCCCCAGCCTCGTCAAGCATACCCTATTGGAGATAGCTGCTGCTCAAGACTGGAGAAATTGTGGGTATTCTAGACTTGATTTCGCAAGTATGCGTTGGTGCAAATTCATGTCTTTCGAACAATCATACGATGATTGTCACGACATCAGAAAAAGAACATCTTGATCGTTGACCCGAGTCTAGCTTTCGATATTGTTGTTGAGGTAAGAACTTGCGATCAGATGATTTTGCATATTCAATTCATCAATGTAGTTAGAGGAAAGTAAAAGCTTTTGACTCGGGGTTCGTTCCTATCGTATATTCCTTTCATTCGGTTTCGGAATCGGAACTACAAGCGTTTTCTAGTTTTGACCAGCGTCAATGTCCCGCCAAGGTATCGTAGCGTGGAAATCGCGTGGCAGATCTCGCGTGGAACACTCAACAATAGATTGTGGGCAGATCTTAAAGCCCTCCCAATGGACCTGCAGTAAGCGTGGAGAAGGAAGCACGAGCTGTATGCTGACAAGGCTTGGAATGTCACACAGGCTAGTGATGCCGTGTCAACCAGTCTGGCGGTGATCAAGTACGGCTTCTGCGATAGAATGATTCGTTCTCACATTCAGCTCGGCTAGAAACCTCGGCCACGAGTGCAGCTGAGGACTATGACTCTCCACCTTTGCCGGAATTCTTCAGTGTTGAACCGGTCAGCAGCTCGGAACACACAGCCTGGATTTCACAAGCCAAAGTCATCAATAGCAGGAATAGATCTCGTGTAGGTCATTCGTCTGTCTAGTGGATCATGCGGCGTAAAAAACGTTCGGAAGATTCGACCCGGATCCTTTCATAGACTTATACTGGCGCCTTATTATCGAATATCGATGGTTGGCAAATGGCTGCCGTTGGTATTTCTAACATGAATTCAGACCATCGATATGGACCCGAGTCGTGAGAGATCCCGCAATGAGAATTTGCGGCGCATTCAGGCTGACGCGAGGTATTTGATGAACCAATTTCCTTCCCAGAATGATTGCGCTCAATCGGTGTTGAGTTTGATGCAGATGTGGGGTGTAATATATTGAGAGCGCACTGCGAAGTCAACCCCTGTAATTTACGATGCCTAGCAAGCACCAACAGATTGTAGAATGCATCAATGAAAGTTGCTATATGAAGCACGATGCAGTGGATTTTCTGCCCGCCTCCACATACTTTGTCGATGGCCAGAAGCGTCGAAGATCATGTATCTTCATCATCCATGTGCTTCTGTCCAACCTTCTCTATCTCTGCCAATGCCTAGTTTGAGGAATCAAGTCTCTTCCATTCTCTGAGAAAAGACACGACTACACAGAAATAGCCAATGTTCTGGTGAGTTCTGGGCTTGAGGTTGAATGCTAGGGTGGTAGGATGACCAAGGTTGGCAGATCAATCCCGTTAATAGTTGAGTAGATCAACAATAACCGTGTTGCAGTCATTGGCCACACTGTAACTCCTACATCACAAACCAGCGATGTGTTCTCCTACCGATTTTCTCCATATTTGCAACGAAATGGTAAGATTTCCCGTGTTAATTATGACATCCAGTGCGCCGTTGAGATGTGGTCCACAATCGAGTGGAATGCAATTAGCAATATGGCACACGAAAAGATAGCCTCAATTAGCTAGATGGAGCATTCCAGAGCCTCGGGTTTTGAACCAGGATTTGGTGTTTTGTGTCATCCTCTAATTATGCGTGCCTAGGTCAAGCAATTATGTAACTGAATCGGTCTTCTGAAGAAATGTGGGAAGGCTCAATGATATATATATAAATGGAGCGCGACTCCTGATAATATGGATAATATGGATAATGTAGTAATTGATTGCTCCATTACCAAGACTGAGGGAAAACCCTTTTTTTCTGTTGTGTTTTGTTCATATGTTGGAGCACCAGGGGGTGCACAGACTCACGGGACAACGTGATAGGAAAGCACAATTTCACACTCAAATTTATCAACTTCAAAACTCAATCAAAATTCCAAATTCCATCCAATATTATTCAAATCAAGATATATAATTTATAAATATAAAATTCATATAATATATAAAAATTGAATCTTAAAAATAAATATTAAATTTAAAAATCAAATAGTATATTTTTCTATCAAGTTTTTTGATGGGATATTATATAATCGATTATATAAACTTGAATTTTGTTTTTTTTTGAAATAAAACTTTTATTATATAAAATTCTTATAACGTGGTTTATCAGCATATGGCCTATATCAATATGTGACCTACTTTCACCTCAATTCATACCTTTTTCTTTTAATACACATTTTATCAATAACCTATAATGAATTCGAAGAATCAAGAAGCTTATATACTCCTTGTTATTAAAGCTATTCAAAAAAACAAAAAACTAAGTATTCAAAAGATTGCTAATATATATAATATCCTATATATAATATTATAATATAGAATTGATAATTTATTTCCTTATATCGAATATTAGTATAAATCTCATAATCTTTTAAAACTGAAGGAGAATATTATTTCTGAATATATAATCGATATGGATATAAGAGGATTTCTATTTAAATTAAGAAATATGAAAGATATAATAAATTATATTTTTAAATCGAGGGGTACAAAATGTATTGAAAAGCTTTAAGTATATTTTATTTATTTATTTATTTATTTTAATTTACATCCGGGGGGCAAGCCGCAGGGGCTCGCCACGACCTCCCAGGGGGTACTAGGGATGGACTATGCTAGCGGGGGTGCCGGCATAGCCACGCGTTCTGTTCTTCTACGGCTGTGATGCAGGCCAGGGGAAAGGCGGCTAGGGGCGCTGTGCGCGCTCCTGCCGCTTGTCTCCCGCTTGCAATGTCGGTACTGTTCAACCCACTTTATGCTAAGTAGCCCAGGTTTGCGGCTGGCTATAGGGCCCTATATTGTCAGTTTTTGTGTAGTGTAGTTTATACGCAGCAATAAAGGGGGGGAAGCGGCTCCAAAGGGGGGTGTAATCTTAGTTGGTAATATGAAAGTGGGAGATCAAAGGATCTCTGGAGAAACTAAGTGTGGTTACTCGAAGTAATTAATGATTACTAGAAAGTTTGCAAAGTCTATTGGAATCTTTAAAAGAAGAGAGAGATAGTCGATTATGTTCTTTATATTTCACGGGATTGAGCCAGATTTGTTCGACTAATTTTCGAATTAGGTGCGAGAGTGTCAGTAGAGTATTAGGTGCTTAGGCTTTTTGCTATATCCACAGGAGCATTCTAGGGTGGCGTTGTTGTACTGAAAGCGTCAGTGATAGGACGTAAAGTCCCTGTATCCGGTTCTAAACGCCATCAATCACTAAAGAGTAGGGCGGGGGAGTGTAAGTTCCTCTAATTCCTTGACTTGATAGTTAAGATGCTAGCAACGGTATCGGCCGGTGAGGGTAACCTCATTTCACTTCCACCATCTCTGCTCTACCCCTTGTCTGAGGGTTCTGGCTGTTGAGCTTATCCCACTGATAATGGGGAGCAATGAGTTGTCGTTTTCGATGCAACTGCTGCAAGTGCCCAGATTGGCGAGCCGATCAGCCTTCTCGTTTCCAAGGATTCCAGTGTATCCAGGCGATCATTGGATCGCCACTTGTCTATTCCTCATAATCTCATAACAGTGCAGAAACACCTATTGGGATGAGTCGGAGGTGTTGCCCCTGATACCCCAGATAACTGAAGTGCTATCGATGCATATGGTGATCTGCCCAGCCGGCTTCAGTCGGATGGCGCGCTTTAAACCTTTTAGAGCACCCACTGCCTCGGTATCGAAGACATGCGAGAGCGGGTTGATCGCCCCGTGGCCGGATGCCACTGGAAATTGTCCCCGGTAGATCGCGTAGCCGTAGCCGACTATCTTTTGCCCTCGGTGGTATTGTTCAGTGCCGTCCGAGAAGATTGTGATGTGACTGTCAGGCAGACGGTTCCACCATTGCGTGAATTCAAGCGCGGCTGCTTCTTTCTTCACGCCTCCTGTGGGGTCGGTGCAGCTCCCTGCGGAGAAGTGAAGCTTTAAGTATATCAATTCGTAAAGCGTCGAATCAAATTAAAGATATGTTTTAGTTGTATTTATGATTTTCAAAAGGCTTTCTGTAAAGATCCTGAGCTTATTGAAAAGTGGTTTCGATTAGTTTCAAATATATAAGCGAAATATAATATTCTTAATTACAATTTCTATAACTTCAATGAAATAGACTTTATAATGAATATAATATATTCCGGAATAATAATAACTAATATTGAACAAAATAGTAAAAATAAGGCAATATAATTAGACAATAGAGAATAAGCTATAACGATTATATATAATAATAAGGAAAATGAAACTATATTTCTATTTCTAATAATTCAGGGATAGATTCATTTTTCCAATTGATATATCAAAACTGATTTTCCTGTGGATTAGGCTATTAAATTTATATTTAATAGATGAACAAATAATAAGATAGATTTAGAATAATTGAAATACTTTGATAAATATATTAAAAATCAAAGAAAGAATAAATATTGAATGTTGATACTAAATGAGTATGAAAGTTATAAATCAAAAGCTTTTCAAGTATATTATAAAAAGAACGATATTATATACTTAAACTTACTATTGCATTTAAATTATTTAATTCAATTATTTGATATAGATTATTTTAGCAATCTGAAATATTTATATAATAATCAAATTGATGGATTTATTAAGATATATATTAATTATATTTCGAAGATTAAATTCTTTATAGCTTTTAAAACTATATATAAAAAATCAATTATAATTCAAAATATAAAATTAGAGTTTCGAAAAGTAGGTTTAATATCTTTTAATTCTAAAGCTATATTTTCGAAATTAGATATTCAAATTTGTATATTTATTCCCCTTTCTTTCGATTTAGATTAATGGATTTCTCAAATCCCTTATAATTCAATTAAAGCTTTTTTTCAATCAATATTAATAAAATCTCGAATAGCTTATTATTAATTAAGCTTTTTTATATCTATATTCAAGATTATACTAATTCTAATTAAAAATATAAAAAGATTAGCTTATAAGAATATACTTTTGAATACAAAGATTTATATATTTCGAAAAACAAATAAAATATTAAACAAACATTAATACACAAAAAAAATCTAATTATATTAAAGAGAAATATTTATTAAACAAAAGATTTTTAATATATTATTTCAATAAAAGATTAATATTCAGATTTAATATAATAAATACTAAAATAAGAGAAATCCTAATAAAAAAGTATTTTTTAATAGATATTATAATAAGTATAGAAAACCAGATCATAATTCAAAAACTTATCAAAACAATATAATAGATCCTAGATTATTAGATTCTTAATAATTTTAATCAATTGATTCAATAATTGTTGAATAATATAGGTTTAAAGGTGTGAATTGAGGTAAAAGTGGGCTACATGCTGATATGGGTCACATGCTAATAAACCACGTTACTTGAAAATAATAATTCTTAATTTCAAAATCAAATATCAATTTTTTGAATTTTAATTGAATTATCAAAACAGCTCTTTTTGGTGTGAAATTGTGCTTTTCCTCTTAAGTGTCCCGTGAGTCTGTGCACCCACTGGTGGAGGTGCCATGGAAGCTTTGTCAGCACCTTTAGTAAGCCGGTCCTCGCTTTCTTTCGTATAGGCGGGTAGGTAGCCTATGGAGTACATAAAAATCATCCGAAAGCCTACTAGAGGTAATGAGCTGACAACTACCGGTAACCTTACACATAAATTATGCACACTGTTGACATAGACCATCATTCTCATGTCATGTCATGATTTCTTCACATCGCTGTCGTCGTGAAAACTCAAACGCTGATATGATATCACTATCAGTTTTTTCACTTTCATGATCCACTCCAAGTCGGCTCAATTATCTATCCGATCAAAGTCCGACGAGATGGTGCTTTCAAATCATGTCCCGGTCCTCCTTTCAAGACACGATGGGTACACCTCGGTGATTGGGACTATATAAAACTTTGAAAATTCTCAAAAAAGTTGAATTCAATTTAGTTACCAAGTACCACCATACTCTTATCGAAAATCAGAAGAGCCGTTTCATCATGTTACTTTCCGAGAAGATCACATTACCATGTGGGTTGACCCTACCAAATCGTCTTTGCAAGGTATGAAACATCATGAATTTTGTCAATAGTGTCTCCGTAACGCTAATACTACTGCAAAGGGTGCAATGGCTGAAGCTATGTCGACAACTCATGTTCCTGATGAATCATTTTTGAAGGCATATGGCACTTGGGCTGACGGTGGATGGGGAATGGTAATGACAGGTACGAATCAGGAGTGCATTACTACCAAATTCAAGTCTCCAAACACTAATTCAGATACTAGGAAACATTCAAGTGTCTTCCAAATACCTCGGAGGCCACAAAGACGTAGTTAGCACTCCCAGACCCACAGAAGAGACCAAAGCCATGTGGAAGTCCTGGGCGGCAACCTCCCAACGCTCTGGAACACCCACCATAGTCCAAATTTGTCATGCCGGTAGACAATCACCCCTTGGGGCTGGTGACCGCAGCCTCTTCTCAAAAACTGTTGCTCCTTCCGCCGTGGCAATAAATTTTGGAAGTAGTTTCATCGAACGGACCGTTGCTGCGTTAATGTTCGGCACACCACGTGAATTGACGATTGATGAGATTTCTGGACCGGGTGGCATCATTGATGAGTTTGTATTGGCTGCAAAGCAAAGTTTCGAGGCGGGATTCAAGGGTGTTGAACTCCATGGCGCGTAAGTTGCCCCCTAACTTTCTGTTCCTCCTCAGGATTGCTCTTATTGATTCAATTATAGACACGGCTACTTGCTAGCACAATTCCTGTCTCCTAAGTCCAATCTCCGAACCGATGAGTTTGGCGGCACAGCCAGAAAGAGAGCTGAGGTCGTAGTCAGAATCATCAATGAAGTCAGAAAGCAAACGAGTAAGGAGTTCTGCATTGGTATCAAGGTGAACAGTGTGGATGCTGCTTCCAACGAGTCATTGGAAGATAGTATGGAGCAAATCAGGTGTATAGTAGAAGCCGGAGTCGACTTCATCGAGATTTCTGGAGGAAGCTACGAGAATCCTCGTATGATGGGTGAACCCTCTTCAGCCCCTACGACTTCTTCTCGCGAAAGTTTCTTCCTCGAATTCGCCCAAACAGTACGCAAACAATTTCCTTCTGTCCTCCTGATGGTCACAGGAGGTTTCCGCACAAGAGTCGGTATGGAGGAGGCTTTGAAGTCGGGAGGATGTGATCTCATTGGCATTGCCAGACCCGCTGCCGTTATTCCCAAATTGCCAAACGAGATTATCCTCAATAAAGACATACCTGACGAGGAAGCAAACATCACTCTTAAACCACTCTCCCCACCATTTTTGGTTCGCCACATGCCTGTAAAACAGGTCGGGGCTGGTTACCAGAGCATGTATTATTCGTCACAAATTCAGAGAATGGCTCAGGGAATGGCGCCTGTCAATACAAAGGTATAGATCATTGTTAGATATAGAGAGAGGAGTTATTGGTAGATGGATTATGGACAGAGGAGTTATAGGCAGATGCGTTTGGATGCAGATATAGATTTGAATATAGAATATGTACATATATACCAAGAATCTTCTCTTTCAGATCCCCACCACAACCCCTCTTTATCACATTACCCAAATACTAGTCATCGTCCAACTTAAACACAGCTTCCCGCAATACTACTTGTGGTATTCTTGCTATACGCACTCAGAGCACTTCCTCCACACATAAGACCCTTCATGAATGCAGCGGCCACAGTATTTGCGCCTGCGGGACTGGTATGCGTGTGATCGTTTGGATAATACGCATCGACGGTCGTAGCACCAAGCGTCTTGTAAATATTCGCAACGTATGTACCGTGGTCGACAAAGGAGGCCAGCGAGCCAAGAGAAGTGACGACGGATTTTCCATATCCAGTGAAGCGGGGGGATGTGTAGGACCAGGTGCCGGTTTCCCATAAGTTGTTGGGAGTGGGCGAGGCGACGATCAAGTGTGCACCTTTGGCGGTTATGAGACGTCTGGAAGGAGTGTTAGTTAAGTTGGTGGTTTTGATAGGGTCAGGGCTGCGGAAATGGAGAATTGTAAAATGTCGGGGGGAAGAGAAACATACCCTGCTTGCAACAGGTAGAATACATATGTGTACACGGTTTCCCCTGTAACTGGAGAGATACAAGTCTCGGTACCGCCTCCATAGCAATCGGTACGGAGGTTATCAGTTGTGGTCAAAGAGCCTCCATCGTTGTGGCCAAACTCGCTGATAATTGAATTAGCACATGTTTATCAATTAAAAAACAGGGGATTGTTGAAGACATACAAAAGAACATAATCGCCGGCAACAACCAAATCGGCTAATGCAGCAAATTTTCCTTCATTCCAATATGAGCGGGCGGATCGTCCGGCAACGGCTTTGTTCACGACATTGATACCGGTGAAACTGTATTTAAGGTATTCACCGAATCCTATACACGAGACAAGTTAGACAAATTTCCCACACTCCTATATGACGTCTAGGATGGAGAACAAAAGCACAAACCTTGAGTACCAGTTCCACCGCCACCAAGCGCCATGGTGGAATCACCAGCCAAATACAATGTTGGCACTGCGCATACCTGAGCCGCGAGCGCGGAAAGCAGGACTTTGACGGAAACCTTCATGATGAATGATTTGAGATGGTGTGAGATCGATGCCAAGAATTGCTGCAAAATCGACAGATGCTGTTCGAGCCAAGCTTTCTGATTTTCGAGCCGATCTTCTTCTCTTTATATAGTTTTCCTAGCCTTCGACCCATCATGCGGAAACATAATAGTAACCGTCTTTATCTACCTCCATGTCCAATTTCTCCATCTGGTCTCCTCAATACGAGCGAGATTCTCGGCGCCGAGTTCCCCTTCCCCTTCAATCAAATTTACTTTCTGCTAGCCACCAGAATCCGCAGAGACCTCCACTTACAAATCCGCATATGGACGCCCTCCAATTCCAGGCGCCAAAACAATACCAAAAGTTTCCCATGCTCTTCGTACAATCTCCACCCGAGCAACCCACCCACCTCAGCAATTATTCATCTAAGCAGAACGCCAAGACGGAAACTTCATCGTGCATGTTAAGCTTATTCTTCGTCCGAAAAATGAAATATAACCACCAGTCGCAAACTTCGCACTCGGTAGATCTTCGCTCACGTTGCAGATTCGGTATACCCCAGATTTTTGGCGCGGGTCCCCTCATTTGATAACTAACTATCTGTGCCTGGATGTGAAAATGTGTGCAGGAGAATTCGGCAGCAAGTGAGAGATCCACCAATGAGATTCATCCGCTTTGATTAAGTGCCGGCTGAATTGGTCTTGGCAAAGGCTTATTGATCACAAGATGGGGAGATCGTCGGCTTTTATTGTTGCACGCGATGGATTATGGCGATTGAATAGAGGCGATGTTGCGAGTGCAAATGGAGATTATTTGTGCGCTTGCGTGTGGAAACTATGCTTGGCGGAATTTTTGTTGAAAACGAGGGTGTGGATTTGGAATTTGGTTGATAATTGAGGAATGTTATGATTGAGATGCTTGCGTATCACTTTGGTGCATGTGTGTTATCTCGTAAAAAAAGTTATTCGCACTGCCGAAGAATCCGACGAACAAATCGAGTGCGATAGATATTTGGTTAGAAGTCAAACTGGCTATAGACTTTGATCTCCTCGTCTGACAACAGGCTCAAACCAAAGTTGAAACGACTGTGCAACATTGAGCGTTGTAACCTCTGAACCTTTACAACGGCGATTTGGAGCTTTAAAAAGCAATAAAGGTTGATTTCTACCGCATCAAAAAACATAAACTCATCTCAGTATCGCGCGGTTGATGAAGAAGAATAATTGAGTGCATAACCGCATCAACGAATGTTGTGTATTTTTGTGAAGCCATCCGCATGTTACTTCCGCATCGCAAGATCAGGTTTGAAGAGGATCTAATTCATTGAAATCAACATTCCAGTCGCCATCGTAAAGGGAAAAACTACTTTGGAGAGATTGGGTTGAGCCCTAGGATCTTTTGATATTGATGAAATGATTGGCAAGGTAGGTTGCTGGTAGACTGGAAATTTTCCGCTGGAAAGCATTCTGAATGAGGTTTCAAGTCACAACAGTCCTTTTCCTGTGGGTGAGATCACGATCCAAGAAATAATGTACGGTATGGTCTACTAATCAATGTTCTTGTCGCGGCTTTTCGGTACAGATATCTTCATATATGCTTTTCGAGGCAAGCAATCAAGGTGATTTCGAAGACACCAATGTCGGAAGATTCCCCGAACTGAAAGAGCTGTGTCACATCGATGTCCACTTCAACGTTGACCGTGTTATTGATGTATCCATCCATATGTATTGAACCGAGTGCGGGCCGTGGCAACAATTTTTTGACTTGGGAAAGAGAACTGACCGCCTTGACGCAAACTTGGGTCTCCGATAATCACCTTTGAGCGACGATACCATTTTGTCGCGCCATTTTATTTCAATGTTGATTTCGCCTAATTCTTAAATATAATCGAAGAGATCGCACATAATCTTGTCAATTGGTGGTATGACAACATGGCACTCTAGCTTAATGGTTAGATACGACAACTCGAGGTGCGCGCGGTATCTTTGTGGGGAGCATTCGATCCCTTCGGAGTCATTGATACCGCGAAATAGGTCAACAAAGATGTAGGGCCTCAATTTGGGGCCTGAACTTTTGCTATCTTGCATCCTTGTATTATCCACCTTGGGTCTACTGGATCACCTCGTCCTTTGACATTTTTTTAGAGAGAGGATTCTGGCGACAGGAGAAAATTGATGCCTGAAACTAAAAAGAGATGCCAGGAAGAGAATTGGTATGATCTGTTCAGAGTCTGATAATATCGAATTTGCTCCACTCAAAGCTCGCTGACAATTGCTTTTGTATGGTTGAAAAAGTGTTTAATAGTCGGCTCTTCAAGCGGGCGACTTTATAGGATGATTTACTGAAGAGACATAGAATAATGAAGCGTGGGAGCCTGAATTGAAACGGGACATTGGAGTTGCTACTGAGCTGTCTCTATCGGATGATACCTCCTGGAATTTCAGAGCCAATTTTGAAAATATGACGGTGATGAGAAGAGAAAAACGTGATTAGCTTTTGTATATGAGTACTACCTACCTAGGTAGAGCAGTTTAAATTATACACTAGATATGCCACTGATAATAACAATGTACACTTGAACGGAAAGGATTCTGAACAAGAACTTACTTATCTGACTCGATTATATGCTCCAGGATATTCACGACATCTCTTCCGATCCTGCATTGTAGTTATCGACTTCCTTGATCAATCTTAATACAAACTCCCGGTATCGAGACACGAGAGCGAGTTCCAGAAGCCTTAGGGAGCTATAGACAATATACTTTGGAGTGTATGATTGTTGTCAAGGTGACAAACGATCTAGAGCAGAACACAAATGATTGATGCTTTGAAGTAATGTTCTATAGGCTTGTAGAGATATGGAAATGAGTCTCGCCTGTTGGATCAGATTTGCGTGCAAATTCTTGATCTGAAGGTGTAGTAAACAAGATCTACACACTTTGGCTAGCTTAGTCATCATAAATATAAATAACTTTATACTTTATTCCGAGACTTCTGGTTTGTGATGCCCCAACCTCTTCAACATTTGTCTCTTCTAAGTTTTTTTTTTTTCAATTCATAGTATAATATTGAACTGAATGATATCTCTCAAGATATTTTCAATTAATATTTTAAGAATTTGCGCATTCCATTTCTTCGTGTTCGACTGCGCTTTCCTCATACGTTTGCAGATAGATATCCGCGAACGAACAGAAATGTCGATGATGAAGAGGCTTCCAACTTTTCTCTACCGGTCCCGTCGAGGGATATTGAGGTATCTGAGCTCGAATTAAGCCTCAATGAAGGATGGCGTCGTTAGGCGCGCATTTCCAGCTTAAGATGGAAGGTCCACTTGTATGTTGGTTGACCTCAAGCTGTTGCTTCCCCTAATGCTACTAGGTTATAACTTCAGGTATCTTTCCAAAATTCTTGATCGAAACAAAAACATCCATTTGATAACACTCAATTATCAAAATCGATGCATTGCTTGCATATGCGTATGTCCTCCAAAATGGGTCTCGATAAACATTCGATAGAGACCTCCGTCGCAGAGCACATCCCAATCACGCGGAGTATGCGTCGTATCATTGCATCTAGATACATTCAATCTATCGGTATATGCCCGCACAGCATCTTGGATGGATCATCTTTACCAAAGTTGACGACTTTTTCGCTTTTTCGCAATTTACCACTTGAACTCCGCGCTCAGATCTGGACGCTTGCTTTTCAGGAGCCTCATATAGTAGAGCTCGAGCTTTTGACCTCCACGGATACAGCATCCAGTTCGCAGCAGCGATCATCCTCTTGGAGCTTTCGCAACACGACTCCGCACCCTCTTCTTTCAACTTGTATCGAATCCAGAGAAGAGATTTTAAAGCGGTACCGATTTTCTGAACATTCAAGATACAACTCACTTCCCATAACCTTTGCCATCAATTCATTGTTTCTCAAGGATCTCAACTTTGGTTCTGTCCAAGGTTATTGGCAGCGAAATGTGAATTATGTTAAGAACGGCGATTGTAGAGTGTTTCTACCGAGTATCTTTGAGTCTGTAGAAAGTTTAGTGATTTCTCGAACATCCATCTTGAATGCAGAATGCGAGGCAGAAAACATCGTTCGTCATTGTTTCCCGAATCTTTGTCTGCTCATCGTCACTGTCAATGTTTGTGCAAGGAACGAACTCTCTTCTGACCACACTTACCAATTTCTTTTACATCCAGAAGACGATCACCATATCTCGCTATTAAGCTTTGCGCCGACGACTTGTCCTTGGGACGCGATTTATGCATCGAGGATCAAATTAAATATGCAAAGACGATTTGCGAGACAGGAAAGAATACACAGAGATTATGTTGCGCCCGTTATAAAGGTCGTCAGCGCCTGTTAATGCTACGGTGGAACATAAGAGTATTTTATTCGGCTGTTTCAAAGATGAGAGTAAGATTTTACTGCGTTGCGCGAATAGTTCTTTGAAAAGAACGAGTCAAGTCACGAAAGAAGCTCTTACGACATGAATTGAATTGATTGGCATAGCCATGATGGTGGACTAGAAGGAATCACTCTCCATATACCCGGCGGCACTACAGTGAAAATACTCTGGCAATTGTGATGTGACACAAGCCCTGTCACTCTGTTCGGGAGCTATGAACTGGTCATGTCTCGGAAAACGAGGATTCAACTCACAAGGATTGTGCATGAGCTACCTTATCTGGATCTTATCCATAACACAACCAAACTCCCGGAAAACTCAACGCTTCCTGATAGGAGCATCATGTGCAGAGCAGGAAAAGTGATGGCTTTGCAGCAAAACCTTGCTGCAGAATGGGCTCGGGAATACCCTCAACCTAGGCTCGCAAAGGCAGCTGGTTGTAACCTAACTTATCACTGCGCCTTCAAAAATTGCATGGGATCATCCGAGCCAAGTTTGGCCGCCTTCAATCGTTATCACTCCGACCAAAAATCAATAATGCACAAACCACCATAAATCCTTTCAGATCCCGTTGTAATTCCTATCAAATAACCACTACTCAAGTGCTGTGGTTTCGATATATGTTTCTAGTCTTTCAATTATTTCTGAATGTTTGGCTAAGAGTCTCGAACTACTAGGTACTCGCCCCAAGCGGTTTTGTTGGTACGAGCGTCTGCATTGTGATTGGTTGATATCCACTGGATCTTGCCGCCGTGCAAACTACCTTGCAGTTTACAACCCCGCAAAGCCTTTGCACTTGGGCAAGAATACCGGTACTTCTTCCCATTTTTTGTACTCGGCATCCTTGATTTGGTTAAATTCAACGTTATCGCAACTGTTGTTACCCGAAATCCCTAGGTAGTTCTCGCCATCCACGGAAGTTAAGCCTTACCTCTCTGTCAACAAAACACTTCTTTTCGTACAGAAGATAGCCTCAAACACAACATCTTTTGTTCAGCATGGCGGCTAGTGAAAGTTATCGTGCTTATTTAGCAACTCAACAACGAGTACCTCTTCTTTCGGCGATCTACAGTCCACCTCCAACTCATGAATACGGGCCTGACACTGCAAAGCGCTATGAAGTTTTAGAAAATGAGACAGAATTTATCATAAGCCAGGCAAAGACACCTCACATCCCTTCAGACTCAGAAACGCCACCTCAGCCTCTACCTCAACCCCCACAGCATCATCGAGGAAACAGTACAACTCGTCTTGGCATCTTCAATAAAGTTTTTTCTATAAGTCCTCCTGCTTCTCCAAGATTTGAAACTACTTCCATCTTTGTCCTCTTGTTACCTCAAGCGGGTACACGACCCATCCTTCTCAAACTTCGTACAATAGATATCCGTCTCGAAGGACACAGAGATAACCATCTCTCTCATATTCCGGATATGCGTTCATTTTGGGGCGATGGAGATGCCTGGCACGCTCGTATACAGAAATATTCTTCCATAAGTAGGATCAATGGTTTGACAGATCATGCTTTGATTGGCACATACATGTTACTATATACGCCTGAAGGAAACGGATTACCTTTGAACCAAAGATGGAGCGCAGGCGTTAGTGGAGATGCGTGTATAGCAAAGATGTGTAAGAATATATGGGGGAGAGGAGGAGTGGCTGCGTATGAGGATATTGATAGGGAGTTCCTGGATAGTAGACTATACAGGAAGATGCTGATGGGATTGTTTGATAGCCCTCTGAAGGACTCAAACGAGGCTGCTACAGGAGAGGATGAGGATAATGTTGATAAGGAGACTTCGTGAGGTGCTGGCGCTTCTAGGTTCTGTTTTGTGGTTTCTATTATGGTTCGCTCAAGAATATAATCGCTGGATATCTCCGCAGTACAACTGGAGTAATTTTGGAGTTCATGGAGTTCAATCTATTTGCAGGATATGCTGGCGGTTTTGAGTTTCGATATTGAAACGCGTATAGAAAATCAAGAAATGAGAAAATCATTTTAGATCTGATACAGTGAAAACGCGAATATATGAACATGGTGAAGGCATTCATCTGAACGACCAGCAGCAGTATGTACTTCGACTATACAAAAGCTTAGACTTGGCATATCCACACGCTAATTGACCCTGAAAGCTAGCTCGCGGAAGAGCTCCCGACAAGCCTTTCCTTCGCATGCCGGAAGCACAGATAGTAGACCTACTGATCAACTAAATGCTTTCCATTAACATCTATACTAGCTAGCTATGGAGAAATAAAGTTTTCTCATTGAAATTCCCAACAGAAAACAAATATCAATCCCGCTCAATGCATACCATATCACAACTCAATTATCTGTATTCTTCTTGACCAATTCCACAATCCTATCCGCCAATAGTTGGGCATCTCCAGGCCACCTCCCACTAATATAATTATACTTCTCATCTTCCACCACAAAGCTATTATCTCATCAGTCTCTCTATCCCATAACGCAGAAGATATACAAAACAGAATTCACAAAAACCAAACTCACGGCTGCAACCCAATATAATGCTTCCATTGCTTTTCTGGATCATCCAACCTCTTCCTAACACTCGTCTCCACATTCTCACTCCCCGCTCCATAAGTTTTATAATAATCTCCCAACGCCCATCTCGTACTCCAATAAGCCGCTCCCTCAAACATACCCGGCAGAGCCGTCGTGTCACAGTCATGAATGATAGATTTCCCCGCCGTCAAAGTTTCACTCAAAACCATGACACCGTGACAAACCGCTCCAATATGTTTCTTTCCAGGCTTCTCAACACCTTTCCAGTAGGATATCAGATGCTGATGCATAATCTCCGAATCGATCAGTTGACGCACGCTTTTCTCGTGGCCGCCAGGCAAAAACACAACATCGTAGGAGTTGAGGGAAAAGGAATCAGAAGACCAGGATAAAGGGCTTGTGAATTCTTTCGTCTGGGTCATGTGTTTGTAGGCGGTAACGGCTTCTTGGGTGGCGCCGAGAAGCTTCTGGGTGATTCCCTCGAGCATTTTACGATCGCATGCTGGGATGGTGCCGTTTTCGGTGGCGAAGTGCACGGTAAATCCGGCGTTGGTGAAGGTGGTGTATGGAATTGCGGTTTCTGGGAGGGGGATTCAGTATATATGTTATCGGTAGTATGGTTTGGGAAACAGACTGAAGTGATTGCTCATAATGTTGGGAGTTTATAGAAGAGGGATATGTTACCTGTTGGATCATGGCCGTAATCAGACATAGGAATCAACACTTTTATACCAGACATCTTTGCTGAATGCTATTTTTTGAAATTTATTATTAGGAGATAAAAGTAATGTTATGATGATAAAGTTTCTTCATGAACGAAAGGACTTTCTTGTGTATAAATGTTTTCAAGACCCTACCTTTCAAGACCTGAACGCAGTAAGCCAACAAGTTGGAGCTAGTTCTTATTCAAGCTTAGGTTGCAGTTGAGATTTTTTGTTCAAAGATCCGAATTCGACACCGAGGTTTGATTGAGTTAATGGTTCCAACAATCACTTATCAATAAATGGAAAATTCGAAATGTTGAGTAGCTTACTTGCACAGACATCAAGATATTCATCGCTGCTATGACGTGAGGGCTTTTGGTAACTGAAGGGGTCGATGACGAATGAACCGAGGGGTTGCAGAGTTGGTCGAATGGGTATCCGTAGATCAAATGCTTACTCCAACGGTTGCCCCAAGTCGAGACCCAGCATTACTCCCTTGATCGATAGTTTACTTCCGGGTCTTTAATTCCGTCGTTCTGTTTTACTTTCAAGAGGATTTCCAAGTCTAGTCTTTATTTCGAGAATATGGCTGTGGGGTTCGTGGCTTATGAAGTCTCATCTGGCTCTTCCTCATATGCCGCTCAGAGGAGTGCTTGTGTCGAGAGTGACGAGGGAAAGAAGCTTAATTCAATGGAAATCAACTTCTATAGATATTAAAGGTAAAGAGTCAATTGGGAATTTGTAAGAAGAAGGGTGTCTTCAATGATACAAATCATCATATTCAAATATACAGTCTTAATGAACTTCCAGAGCTCTTGTGACTACAAGTACACATCATCACCATAAAATCCATTCCTCCTGAAGCTCTTCATCTCGATCGTCCCGACGTGGACCCTGTCTAAATTTGATCAATGCCTTTCGTGGTCCAAGAGATGTTATTTCCGTTATTACGATCCGGGATGACTCCACCACTTCCTCGGCTCTCGAAATATTCTCTAAATTCTTCTCTTCCTTATCTATGGTCCACCTACCAATACTACTCCCCAAGTCACTATCCCAACCACCTTCTCGTTTGAAAGAGCTGACCAGAAGAGCGTGTGCTCTCCTGCGCAGTGAAGGATCACGACATTTGCATGCCACACATAGCAGCGGTGGTATTATCGCAGTATCGAAAGAAAACACCCGTCCGTTTTCCAGCCTTGAATCGCCATATGATTTGAGAAGAGATTCGGCTAGTGAAGTCATTAGTTCAAACTGATCCATGTAACGATCGTAGTTCAATTCAGACTCGAATTGTGCTGTTTCGAGAATTAGTTTGTTGGCGACATGATGAAGTTTGAGCGATATTGATGCTCGTAGATCGCTCGTATTCATTGTTTGACCTACTGCTTGTGCGAAGTTGTTGAAGACTCTGGACCACTGCTCAAGTTGCAGAATTCGATCTCTCCTTTCATCGACCATAGCATTCATGCCACTGGAGCGTAGAGTTCTGTCACTATTTGGAACCCCTGAGCTACAATACTGTGCTGCGTTCTGATGGTATACCAAAATTGCATGGGTCTGGTTTTGGAGATGATGTTTTGCTTCATTCAGCGATGAAATGGGATCTGGTATGCAGGTCTGAGCTGCGAAACCAAGTTTCGTGGACCCATTGGTCATTTCCCGTTGAAAAAAGCTAGCTGGTAGTATTCTGATCGCCTGGGTATTTAAAGCTCCGAATAGAGGTACTA